ACAGAGTACTACGGCCAACTGTAGGCCTTTTGGGCAGATATGATGCTTACTTTTACCAGGGTTGTACACTGGATTACTATCTCTGCAGATATTCCAACAGGGATGATACTCACCTAGTTTGCCTTTTTCACCACCAGAATTGTGCAATTTTGTTGTTCGTTGTGGTCTTCTGTCTAAATAGAGCAGCAGTATGAAGAACAGTAACTTTGTAACTGTAAAGATTACAAGATGTGACTTGAGAATGTTACATCCTATATCATACACTACATACTTCACTGAATCATAGACACACCCACACGTGCATGCACACATGAAATTGGCAAACTTGAAATGATGTCCAACATGTTTCTGGTGTTAAATTTTAACATCTCTTCACCAGAGAATTGGTGTTACTTTTGGCAACTATGTCTCAGGGAGCTGTCTTCATTCTCGTCCATTTCACATTCTCTCTGCTCTTCCTTCTGTATTAGCTTCTGCTGTAGTTCGCAGTGTGGCTTTTTAATACCAGATATTTCTTAATTCTCCACGTGGTTGGCTGAAACCAAATTATAAGACAATAGTGTCCTTCCTTTGTTTCTGAGGCGGTGCTCTGCTGAAGGGTGGCTCTGTTTTCCCCAGGTGGCTTCCCTCTTTCTGGGGGGTGATGGTGGTAGATTCTCCTTGAGTGCTTTTACCCCCCCGGTTAGTTGCTACGACATAAACCTAAGAGTCCTCCTCTTGCCTCCTACGACCAAGTAGGTGATTATATCTTTCTAATTTTAGATTCCCAAATGCTTGTTAACTTATCCACTCTTATTTGTTCTATCATTGTTCTTAGTGCTGTGGTTCCCAGAACCCCGGATACAAGGGAATGATTTTAGAGTGAGCTATTCAAAATGCAGTTCTGACCTTCTCATTCCCTGGCTTACTGTTAGAACACCTCTTGAGAAGGACCTATTAAAAAACAGAAACTCACCATGACTCAGCCCCTGCTTTATTTCTCTAGTGTTTTCTGTTTTTCCTGTTTTTCCTGTCTTGACCAACCTTTGCATTTTATGCTGTAGTGCTTCTGAAATGGTTTTCACCATCTATCAGGCTGCCTTTAATCATGCAATGTTTTCTGTTGGGAATGTCCTTTCTGCCCTTTTTCATCTAATTCCTATTCATCTCTGTAGTCTCAGTGTCTGTATCTTCATCCCTATGAAACCTCCACCTGGAGGCTCCAGACTTCACACTGAGTTAAGTAGCCCTGTGTGTTCCAGGAGCACGCGGGATTGTATGCATAATGTTGAAATGATAGACTTACAGGTCTTTCCCTCCCTCCACACAACATGCTTTTCTGGCATGAGGAGTCTCTCTTATTCACTTGTGTATATCCAGCCTTTCGCATAGTATGTGCATTAAAAATAGCATTAAAATGTAATTAAAATGTAATTAAAAATGTAATTTCTTACATAGATCTAAGTTGAATCTTACAAAAGACTCCCAATATCATCCAATAGGATCTTCAAATTTATTCACAGGATAACTTCAAAAGATGAAAATTTGCTCCCACTGAGGATATTAAATAGAATATGCTGTACGTTTTGAAGGCAATGCGAAAGGGCAATTTTCAAGAATTTTGAATATGGCTTGCATTGTTAAAATAAACCTCATATCTCCCCCAGATGACCAATTTCAAGAAGTAAACAGCCATTTAGATGTGTGTTTGTTAAAAAACCTAACAATTTTATGTTTCATCGTTCATCTTTTTTTATAGTTGTACCAACACTTGAGTCTAACTAAGGAAGTGTGATTTGGCAATGTAAGGCTCCAGTGGAATGAGGCCAAACAGGGAGGAAAGGGTAACTTAAATTATTTAAAGATCTGTGAATTATGATCATAATAAAAACCATGAGTTTCCCTGAGGTTGTCATCAGAGTCTAACATCCATTCTGTGCTTTGTCTTTTGTTCTGTCTTAAATCCTTTCCTTCTGCGTTGTGTCTTTGGTTGTGTCTTAATGTCTTTTTTCCCCCTGTTGGTGTGTGTGTGTGTGACTTTATCTCCTGCATTTGAGCAGGTGTGACATCCCCTACACCATTTAGGAAGAAAGGGTTGTGTTTAAGAGGACAGGCACAGCTGAAGCATGTTATTAAGTGAAGACTAAAAACTAGTAAGAATGTAAATCATCCAACAAATTGTTCATCATTAATTCTTGATGCCAGTTTGAGGTAGGAGAATAAAAATCTTTACCTCCTACCAAGTGCACTGTGAAAATTCTCAAATTTATTTTGATAGATCTATGTTGCAGTAAATCACACAGGACCACAACTCTTATAAATTAAACAAAAGCGTTACTGAGGCTGGACTTAACAATAATAGGAGATACACTTAGTTTTCTTTTATGTTTTACGGTAGTACATAAATTTGCTGGTAAGAGACCTGGTTCTCAGTTATCTAAAGAAAGGAAACAGAAGATATCTGGCCAAAGTAAAGTTCTAAAAAACCTATTTTCACGGACTTCTAGATAAATCCTTGCTTGTATGAGAAGATTCTGGTTGCTTCCTGAAGATTTGTAGGTTTCCAGTGACATTGTACAGCTGAGGGTTTAGTGGGGGAACTGTTCCATTAAGGCATAACATTCCTGAGGTAAAACGATGCACACTGAGTTGAGAAGATATGGGAGTATGTGTGGGGTGTGTGTGTATGTGATTTTCTGTCCCTTTCTAAGGGGACCGATGAACTTGCTGAGGCTATTGCAGTATGAGACTAAGTGATTGGAATTGGGGGGTGGGGTGGAATCAGTTAACTGGTTATTTTCTATAGCCCAAACAGTTCTTTTTTTTTGTTGTTGTTGTTTTGTTTTACCTGAACCTTGATCTAGTTGCACTGATTAGACTTGTTAATGGAAGTTCTTGTACAAAACACCCATTGTATATCATGGAGAGTATAGAATCACAAGAACGGTATGGAGTATAGTAGTATAGAGTATAGTATATAGTATATAGTAGTATAGAGTATAGTAGAGAGTATAGAAACCAAGAACTCATGGGTTTCCTTAGTGTAAAGACAGATCACTGGGTGGACTTTGGTAGGATAGAACCTCTCACTGACTTTAAGCCTGCTGGAGAAGTGCTGGTGCCTCAGTTTTCTTAAACACAAACATCATTGATTGGATTTTCAGAGGACTTTTAATCTGTGTGGTGTTCAGTTCAGAGTCTTTAATGAGAACTCGTCTCATATGAGAAAACTAAAATGGAGACAGACTAACTGTATCACAAATTTTATCCTGCAGTGAAAGGAAAGCTCATGTACATAAAGGGAAAGCCTATCTTTTTTTGGTCTCCATTGTTGTTGTCTGGCAGAGAGGAGTGGAAGAGGTCGTGTAGCAGTCAATGAACAAAATCATCTGTTATTTAAAATTTTTTTTCAATCTTTATTTTTGAGAGAGAGAGAGAGAGAGTGAGCGAGCGTGAGCAGAGGAGGGGTAGAGAGAGGTAGACACAGAATCTGAAGCAGGCTCCAGGCTCAGAGCTGTCAGCGCGGAGCCTGATGTGGGGCTCGAACCCACAAACCACAAGATCATGATCTGAGCTGAAGTTGGACGCTTAACTGACAGAGCCATACAGGCGCCCCAATCATCTGTTATTTTATTTTATTTATTTATTTTTTTAATTTTTTTTTTCAACGTTTATTTATTTTTGGGACAGAGAGAGACAGAGCATGAACGGGGGAGGGGCAGAGAGAGAGGGAGACACAGAATCGGAAACAGGCTCCAGGCTCTGAGCCATCAGCCCAGAGCCCGACGCGGGGCTCGAACTCACGGACCGCGAGATCGTGACCTGGCTGAAGTCGGACGCTTAACCGACTGCGCCACCCAGGCGCCCCTATCATCTGTTATTTTAAATGTAGGAGGATTATGAGACAAATTGTGCCTTACATGAATGGCTTCCCCACGCCCCCCACCCCCACCCCTACCCCTGCACTGTAATTACTATCTGGGTGTTTGACCCACATTTCTTGAGTTTATTTTGGGGATTGAATGCAACAGCAATGCAAACCTGCAACCATAGTGTAGTGCCCAGAGACCAAATTTTGTGTGGAAATAATGCACAACAGGGAAATAAAGCTGAGTGAGTGGGATGAAATCCTCTTTTCAGAAAAGTAATCTTTAACTTATTAAAGTTTTTAAACTCCTAAGTTTTTGATGAGCTTGTTTTAAAATCTGTGGGGGGAAAATTAACAGCCTAAAATGCTGACAGCATTAAAAAAACAGCAAGAAACACTTGATTCCTCAAAGACTCCTTCCCTCACCCCTCAAATAGTTTGATTTTCCTATTTATCTTCTTTGTATTTTGATAAAAAAGAAGAGAACCCTTTGAGAGGACAATTTTGAGGTCTTAATCCATACTTCTTTCCGTTTATCTTTTACATTCAAAATAAACACCTTTAAAAGAATCCTTTTTGGTACTAGAGAGCTAAATGCTAAGCTTAGGTATCAGCAGCTAATTAGCTTCACATCTAGGGGGGATTGTCAATGAACTCCATCTCCTGAATATTTATTGAAGGATTTGTGAAGAATAAGCTATTTTCAGAAAACTGGAGCCTGTTGCCAGTCAGTTGAATGGGAGGAGACATGTACACGGCCCATCACAAACCTGACTTAGAGATTTAAACAATAAAATTCAATCTCTGCATCGTAGTGAGAGCACGCCATCTCTGTCTCATGTTGAATGTTGTTCATTTCAACATCTTAACTGACTTCTCTTTTTGAAGAAATTGGACAACATGCTCTGGAAATCCTGTGCCAGTTCTGGTGTTCTTGAATCACACTATGGCTTTTGTCACCTTCTTTGCTGTTGTTCTGTGCCATCTTGGGCTAGGAAAGTGTGCCATTGTGTCTTAGGGAACCCTCAAAATGGGTGAACTGCTACACATAATCTGTAATTTTGGTGTGGTGGGACTGTGTGGTCTGTTACTGACCTTGTTAATGCCTAGAGTTTCTATACTGCCCTCCACCTCTACCCCTGCCTTTGCCAAGGCCACTGCTGGTATCTTCATAGCCTCCTGCACACTTCCCGCTGCTGCTTTGCCAACAAAATTGCCACCTGTTCCAGCACAACCAGTTGCACCAAGGCTGTCATAGCGTCTGATGCCAGCTGCCTTCAGTAGTGATGTTGCCAATGCTGTTCTGTCCTCACAGGGGCCTCTCACCTTTTTTCATTTTAGCAGAAAGACCCAAGTCAAAATCACCATGAAAACCAACCTAGAACATACTTGTTCCCTGGGGACTCACGTAGCTCTAGTAGCGTACTTTGTATTTTCCTGATCTGGGAACTGAGAATTCAGAGGATCTTGACATCTTAGATTTTCCATAATCCTCTTAGTGGGCCATGTCCTGCTTCCTCACCAGTCTGAGGAAAATTGGTGACTACGGAGAAGAGATACCCAGAGGCACAACCTTACCATCAATTGAATTCGATTAATCCCGAGTAAGCTTGAGATTTCAAGTTTACTGGTGAGGAAAACAGAGTCCTTGATATTCCTCCTGCTGGTTAGGGTGCAGGAAGAGAAGTACAAAAATAGGTAACATCAGTGTGTCCAGCAGGGGATCAGGGACTACATGCTCGAGCAAAACCAGGAATTCCTGGGGATTGTTTTTTTGGGAGATAAGTGGGAAAATTTTAAACTCAAGCCCAAGTTTCTAACTTACAGAATTGATGGAGATCTCAACAGTAGTAGAAAACCAGAAAGAGGAGTAAGTTAAGAGAATGTGCATTTAAACCTGCTAATTTTTTGTTTTCCATGGGATATAAGGATAAATATATCTGGGAGGAATCAGGAAATTCTTGGGGAGGCTAGGTTACATATACATCTTTGGGGAAAAAATAGAAGTGATAGAATGGGCAAGACTCTCAATTTAGGAAGGATAAGGTGATAAAATATGAGGAGAGAAAGAGGGACTTAGATTTGTATGGAAGAAGGATGAAACCATGGGTAGAAAAATAAGAATGACAGAGGTAAAGTTGAGATAGTAATGACATGGAAATGATTGGGGGAAGAGTGTTTTAGGAAGAAAGGAATGATGATCAGATCATGTGTAGACATCAAGAATAATAGCTGGTATGAAAACTGTTATTTGATAATTAATGTCACATTTCTTAGAGTTAGTTCATTAGAGTGCTGATAACCAAACCTCTATTACAGTGAAGAGCCAAGTTGATAATAAGGCAAACAGAGTGCACCCACATGTATTATGCAAGGTTTTAAAAATGTTTTATGGGATTTTTTTTTCTCGAGTGTGTTAAGGTTATAATCACACAATTGTGCAAAGATGCAGGGAGAAAAATGTTGACTGCAGGGTTGTTGACAATAGTGGACAATTGGACAAGTGGTTAAAAAACAATTAGTTTAACCAATACCAGAGATTTGGTTAAATACTCTATACCATCAAATAAAATAGAACCATTTTAATGGTGATGATGATTTTCTTTAATTCACATGGAAAATACTTGTCAGTGAGACCTACGTTTACAGTTTATGATCAATGTTTATTAAAGATATTATGTGTTGGTGAATACCTTTAAATGTTGGTTATTACTGGGTGGTGAGATAATACAGTTTTCTCTTTAACTTTCTATTTTGTAATTTTTAAGTAACAATGGTTACTATTATAATAAAAACATGTGAATGGATGTGAGACAATAGCCCGAAGAGAGATCAGTGACTAAATGAATTCAAGATGGAGAGGATTTGGGGCTTGGGAAATTGGGCACAGATCTAGTCAAGAAGAAAAAGGGGGGCGCCTGGGTGGCGCAGTCGGTTAAGCGTCCGACTTCAGCCAGGTCACGATCTCGCGGTCTGTGAGTTCGAGCCCCGCGTCGGGCTCTGGGCTGATGGCTCGGAGCCTGGAGCCTGTTTCCGATTCTGTGTCTCCCTCTCTCTCTGCCCCTCCCCCGTTCATGCTCTCTCTCTCTGTCCCAAAAATAATAAATAAACGTTAAAAAAAAATTAAAAAAAAAAAGAAGAAAAAGGAAATGTGAGGGAGAAACACAAAGATGAAGAGGAATGAATAACTTGATGAAGCAAGATTCTGAAAAAATGTGCAGAGGGCAGGGCTCAGGTTGGATTTAATTCCAGAAAGGAGGAAAATTTCTTCCAAAGTTCAAGGAAAAAGAGATCAGCTGACTAAAAATGTGGAAACATTTTTATTTTGACATGGACAGATGAAAAATTGAGGTAGCACACGTGAGATGGACTGTCTAAAATTTTTAAGATGAAGTTCTGAGCTAACGGTAAGAGGATATGGAGACTTGAAAGAAATCAAGATCCTTTGGGATGCAGAATCACCATAGAGAAGCAGTGACGGAGGAAAAATGTGTGTATGGCTGCCATTGGACACCTGAATTTGCAGTATAAAATTTTAATGCCTTTAGGCGTTAATAGAGTTAAAGCCAGTCTTCTCTGTGTCAGCTTTAGAGTCCAGAAAAGTGAAGGACTACTTCTGCGCTAATCACAAGTGATACTGAGCTGCTATTGATGCAAACACTGTTTGGGAATAAAAAAAAAAAAAATACATTGACAAAGCTAGATGAAAGCATAGACACTCTTAATCAAGTACAGAAACTGTGTCATCACAGAATACATTTTTTAAGAACATAGACATATCATTCCTGATAGTAGGTATTTTATTAGGCTACTAAGTTCTTGGGATCTTCTGCAGATTTTACAACCAAACTTGCTTGGCTGGGTTTTCTAGTTTTGCTTCCCACATATTTGCAATGTTTCATTAGCTTGAATTGGGGGGTGGCTTTGTCTCTTGACTTTGGAAGAATTGGTAGGAAGGGGTTTCTCCTGCCTCCCTTAATGGGATTCAGGTTAGGAACGTCACTCAAGGGCATTTTCAATATTTTTGAATTCTGTGGGGAAAATTAACCTGGTTTAAATATATCGATAGGCAGTTAATCAGCTGTTGGCACACACTTTCATTTCCTGTCAGTTTATAACACACAGACTTTTCTTAGAAGAAGTGCTGCATTGTAGAAGAGCTAAGACTGATAGTCTGAGGTCCATTCTGTGTTGTAAATGGAAAGGGGGCAGAGCAGGAAGCATAAAGATTAAAGGGAAGATGGAATGACTTTTTTCATCCTGTCAAATGACTGTTTATATTGGGCAATACTGCAAGCTTGTAGGTTCAGCTTGGAAGTTCTTCAAATCAGAGAAGCCATTTAATACATAATAGAGAACTGTACCGGCAAGTCATTTATAAAAATGAAAACATTTCCTATCTGCTTTTTCACAGAACACGTTTCTCACTTCTGAGACATGGCTGTTTTTTGCTCAGATCAAGGAAATACGAACTACTGGAGCTCCATGTTCAATAAATTAAAGACGTTAGAAGTGTCTATTTAGTTTGTTTTGATATATACATTTGGTTGTAAACATTCAATTAAACATGCATTTATTTGTATCTGACAATCATTGACCCCTGATTACATATTCAGTTGGTGAGATTAAAGACTTCTAGATCCTGCTCCTGGCAACCGTCTTGGGCTGAAAGGACAAAATAAGTTTTTACACACAGTGCTCCTTTATTTTAATCGAATCCATTACTAAAGGTGTTAGAATAACAGTTCTTGTTTTAAGTTTGATCATTTGATACCCAGGGTAAATTGACTTTCTCAAGGTCAACAATGAGTTTGAGTAACTAGAATAAGCATTTCCTTTCTGGATGGCAGCTTGGTCTGTTGTGACGTCTTCTGATACTTTGTGCTAACTGCATTTTTTAGGACTTGAGCTCGTCTGAGGGTAACAGTGAAAGAAAAAGGAACAGGAGGCAATCAGGTGCTGTTACATGTAAGGATGTTAAGACTGGGGTTGAGAGAGGGCATAGCTTCAGTGTCTGCTTAAGTTAGTTTCTCTGAAGTTCACTTTTTTTTTCTATCTGTAAAACAGGGTACCACAATAACTTCCTGTTAAGATTTTGTCATTTCATTTACCTTTCTTTTCCCTCACCCCTCCCGTACATGCACATATACATATAAGTCTTTCTAAGAAGTTATTAGGAGAAATAGTTTGCATAACTGTAGAACAGCTGCTATTAAATGGTGAGGTCTTTGGTTGAGTGCCATATTAAAGCACTGAGTGAATTCAATCTTTTCTTAACGTCAAGACCACCAGAAGACTATTCCCCCCTCCCTTTGGTGGTGACTTACACAGTAGCATTGTAAATGCGAGCTCTGTGGTAGGCAAATTGATTCTGAAAATACAATTCTTTTACTAAATGTTCTTCCAGCTTGTTTTATAAATTTACTTAGTTGGAATAGGAAAACAACTTTTTTTGTTGTTGATTTACAATGATTTCTTCGATTTCTGCGTTTATGCTTGAGAGATGCTTTTTTTTTTCCTTAGCGAAAGGGCGTCAAATATTTTTTAATCAACAGATTCATTCATTCATTCAATATAGGTATAATACCTCTTCTTTCAGGCACGTGTTAAACATTCAGATTTAAGATTTCAACGGCAAGGCAGTTGTGTAAACATGAAATGACTGTGCCCCCGTAGTCATAGCCATAATGAACCTATGAAAGGGCTGTTTAAACTAAAGAGTATATTGAATGACTCAGTCTGAGGAGTTTGAGAAGGATTCATGGATGAGTTGACATTTGGCTGAATTAAAGAATGAGGAAAATTTAGTCAGGAGTGGTGGGAATAATTTTTGAAAGAGTATAGTTTTAAAAAGCACAATATATTCAGTAATGCCAAATAATTTTTTTGTGATGTGTAGGGTAAAATGAGCTTACTGAAATGGATGAGAGTAGTAGGGCTATGGGTATAAATTACACTTAGTGAAAATTTTAAATTAAGTAGCAACTTATAAGGTACCATATAATTAGGTTTAGTTTCTTGGTTCCCCTGAAAACAGTAGACTTCAGTGTTTCTGGACTTTGATCTAGGATCTGACAAAAATAAAGATCTATTGACGATCGAATAGTATGTGTGTTTTATTTTGATTGGCCTTAGTTGGCAAATTTGGGGTGGGGGGTGTACCTGTAAAGATTTATTAATTCATTGGGTGTATTTGGTACTCTAACTTAATTATATAGATCAGGACACTAGGATGGGACTCTAGGCTCTGCCACTTACTGTGTGACCAAGACTAGTCATTCAACTTCTCTGAGGGCTTACTTCTCTGAGTAAGCAAGCAAAACCAATAACGTTTTGCTTGCTTACTTTGACTCTTGAAGTGTTCTTTACTTGAATCCATCCAGTGGATCGCATGGGCTGGTGAGAGCTAATGATGGCCATCTCTCTTCAGCTTCATGTTTAGTGATGTGCTAGTGGTAGCTTGAAATTGGACACAGTGGGAATATTTACATTACAGAAATGATTAAACGCTATACCTCAGATACACCTCATTTATAAATGGAAAGCTGGTTTATATTCATACTACTCGTCCATTTTTGCATTGTCTGGCCTACAAATCAACGTTTAACTCTTACAATACAAGAAGACAAAAGAAAATGGACTCAAATTCTTTACTCCGTTTATGGCAGTGTTGTAACCTACAAGTGCCGATTTGGATCTAACTTGAATTTTTCTTTACATGCCATTGATTTTTCAAAAAACAGTTCTAAGGTAAAGGTTTTCTTCTCTCATATGAAGGGATTTGTGTGTGCCTGTGCTGTTTAAACCAGGGATTATTCATTTGCATGCAAGAGAAACTCACTGCATCTTGCTTAAATGAAAGAGATATTTTTTGGTTTAAAAAAAGGTAAACCACGAAAATCAAGAATATATGTGTTCCAAAACAGGGATGTGGGATGTAGTGATGCAGGTACAAATGATACTTGTAGGTTTAATTTATCCCACATCCTTGGAACTGGGAAGCTATTCTTCCCACCTTGCTTCTTCCCCCCACCCCACCAAAGGATAGGTTTTCTAGTCTGCTTTTCTATTGATATCTGTACCATTCTTTTGTATTTCCTTGTTTGTTGGCTTTCTGTACTTACTCATCAGAAGAGATATGACCCAAAATACTATTTCATTCTTCAGTATTCATGTCTCTACCATAAGTAACCACTCTGTGTCTTAAGTAGGTTTAAAGGCTTAAAATTTTTTTTAGTGTTTATTTTTGAGAGAGAGTGTGAGCAGGGGAGGGGCAGAGAGAGAGGGAGGCACAGAATCTGAAGCAGACTCCAGGCTCAGAGCTGTCAGCACAGAGCCTGATGCGGGGCTCAAACTCACAGACCATGAGATCATGACCCAGGCTGAAGTCGGACCCTTAACCAATGGAGCCACCCAGGTGCCCCATAAATTGAGAGAGAATGGACTCAGTGCAGCTTGTGGCTATGACCTCCTTGTGCCACAGTCCCACACCTGGTTCGCTGTGTCATGGCCACAAGAACGGGGGTCCTGAAATACTCCTATATCTAAGCTCTCTTGGCAAGTCCTGTAGGTGGGGGCTGATTCTGGAGTAGGGGCAATGGCTTAGGCAGATACCCCCAAACTTGTTTAGTAAAATTTTAGCTAAATGATACGTTCTCGTATCCTAATTTGATTAGGATCTGAAATCCTAATTTCTCTTCTGAGAGTACACTAATAGATGAATGTGTTACATTTATTTCTATATTTAGCAACCCATCCAAATAGGAAAAGTAACTGATAATGCTTTGCATTCTTCCCAACATATCAAATTATTATGATTTACTTGATTGTCATCACACATCGGAAATGTTTTCCTTCATTGTTTTCAAAGTGCTTTTTATATTCTAGAATTACATAGTGACCTAATTAACTGAAAAACTATATAATCAGCTTTTTAAAAATCCATAAAGGGAAACATAAGCATAGTAACCCAAGAAATAATGAAGTATAAATTAATAATACAGAGCAGTGGGAAACATACCTAATAAATAGTATTAGTTCAAAAATAGAAATTTCATGTTTCCTGTACTAGCACATAATTTTTCAAATAATATTTCTTTCTTGCTGATAGAGATCTAGTTTGGATTTATTTCTCTGCTGAAATAAATGTGAAAAACTGCCAAAATGCTCTGAAGTTTTTCACCTTGGTTTTCATCACTGAGAGTGTAAAAATATCATTTTCTTTTCCTAAAGGAGCTTTTGAGGCAAAGCACCACAATATGGCCATTTTTAGAAGACCACATTTCAGAAGGTTGGCCAGAGAAGGTTGGTGACCTGAGGCAAATATTTCAATACATAGCTTTCTTTCAAATTATATTTATATGGGTCTCATCATTGTTTTACTTCAGACTAAGTGGCTTTTTAATCATTGGGTTTTTAAAATAAAGAAAAAACACAAACACTTCAAAGTGTTGAAAATGGTGGTGTTTCTGGAGAAGGGAGGTCTTGAAGACAGCCAGCTGCTGGTGCGCCAGGGGCCAGGCTCAGTAGCAGAGAGCATGAGTGTGCGGCTTGTAGAATCTCAGAAATGTGGAGGTGGCCCAGAGGCAAAGCAAGGGTCTGGCACAGGCTTATGCTCTTCCGTGGTTTGGTTCCGTGTTGTGTTACCTCTAATCTCACGCTTCCTGTCATCTTTAAAAGTTACTCCATTCCATTAGGAGCAGATGAGTTTGCGTATGCAAGAGTGTCCTCCCTTCTCTCTGCAGGGAAACACAAAGTGATTGCGATGGCATTTGACTTGCATGCTTTCCTACTGAGAGAGAAGGTTTTTGAGCATGGCATTTAGAGAGAGAGGGGGACAAAGTAGGATAAGCTATGCCAGAAAGAGCGGTGAAGCAGATCTAATATTTCTCCAAGGGAATGTTTTCGTGTATTTTCCAGAGGTGGAGTTTAGCTTGGGTGACACAGGCGGTGGCCTCGAGTGCTTGGCTCTCTCCTCCTGCTGTCTTGCAGGGAATGCTGTGTTCCAGGTGCTGAAGGAGAGGCTCTTCCTCTGGCTGGGGGGCTGGTGGGGGGAGAGGGGAGCGTTGTGTACCCAGTGGCTGCTGATGGGAGCAGATAGGAGTTTGAGCCCAAGAGACATTTCTTTTCATATTTGTTTCTTGTTACCAGCTTTAAGGAAGTTACAGATCTATATATAAAAATCTTTGCTGAAAGCCCAGAATTGCTACCTCTGTGAGCAAACCGTGAAAGTGGGGCTTGAGTGTTAGGGGGGAGGAAAGAGAAAGATGCTCAGAATTAAAGTTTTCCTTCTCTCTCTCTCTCTCTCTCTCTCTCTCTTTTTTTGCTTTTTCAGGAAAGGGAATGAATTAGAAGTGGCTTTCAATTTTTCTTCCATCAGAAGTACTGAAAACATTAAAAACCCCTTAGAAACTGGACAGTAATTTTTATTTCTCCATCTCAAGTTACGTGCACAATACACAGGACATGTGGCGATTAATAAGGCACACATGGTGGAGGAACTTAGAATCTATCAGAAAC